ACAGAGCCTGTTATGAAAGCAATGGACGAGGTGATGTCAATCTTCAGACGACCGTTACGTGCGGAACGGCATTCACATCCACACAGTTTGAAGCATTTTTGAACAAGCGATGCATTCAGCATGTGAAAACAGCGGTTAGAACTCCCAGGGCGAACGGCCAAGCTGAGCGAATGAACAAAACTTTACTGAACGCTTTGAGATGCATGGTTAAGGACAACAAAACATGGGATGAATCCTTAACAACAATTCAATGGAGCATTAACTCTCAAAAGAATGAGGTAACGAAGTACACGCCTAATGAACTTGTATTTTTTTCAACCCTAGGGATGTTACCCACAACCGCATGATCCAAGCCATCCATGATAACGTCGTCCATGTATTCGACATGGAGGGGAAACGAGAATATACTTTCCGAACGGAACAAACGGAAAGAGCGATACGACAAACGACATCAAAAACCGCACAAGTACGAGATAGGCGATTTGGTTGTGGTTGAATATGTCCCAACTGCTACGGGTGAATCACATAAGCTGGATGCTGTGTATAAGAGTCCATACCAGGTGGCAAAAGTTTTGAATTACGACCGGTACATCGTGAAAGACTTACCTGATACGGTGGTGACTCAACGCCGCTATTGCAATGTACTATCGGTTGATCATTTGAAACCATGGTGCGCAACCAGGCCAAAATTAGACTTCAGTGATGATGACTGCGACTCGTCCTGGAATGACGAAGAGTCAGGAGAGGCCGAGCTGTCACCGTCACTGTAAGGAAGTCAGTGTGAAGTGGAACGTGCAACAGAGCACACGTAGAAGCCTCGAAAGGTCCATTCAACAAATAACGATTTATTGTTAACTTTCTACACGTACTCTATGTATAACATTAACTGCTGAATTATAGTTAAATACATATTCTTAATTTTACCACTTGGTGTTCTGGCTTTTACAATACCAAACAGCTGAAAGTTTGTAAAATCGGACAATAAGCGCGCCTGCATCTCATGTAACGGTTATTTAGAGAAATACGAAAACTTTGATAAATCAGTAAATACTATAGCCAGTTTATTAAAAATTGATGTTTGAAATAATTCTTTAGCAAAACATACGTTTATGATGAAATTTTGGAAAATAGGCGTGGCGCCGCCCTCTATGAGCACTTATGTGTATCTCGGTAACCGTTCGATCAATTTGTACCAAACTCGGAATGCTTATTGTACTTACCACTTAAAAGCAAAACATTGAAGATTTTGAAATCGGACTAAAGTTACGCCGAATTTTTATATAACGATAAATTTCAGAAATGCTTGAAACTTCGATATTTCGAAATTTAAGGACGCTAATTTACTCCTATTTATTCAAAAAGAAGTATATTATTATAGAATTTTGGGCGTGATACTGTCCACACATAATTATGTAAGTTTATCCAAGATGTTTGAAATAGGGATAAAACCACCCCCTCTTACCACGTAGCGGTAATTTTCGGAAAGGGGAAAAACTATATTGAATAACTGCACCGGGTATCCAATGTTCGTTCCACCCGAACTTATGCTATTTTATTTGTTATTTCAAAATTCGTATCAACGAGTAAAGATACAAATATTAATAAAAACCGAAGTGATATATGGAAATTTTCGGGCGAATAAAAGAAGTTTTTTCCCTTTTTTCCCCTACACTTTTACTCCCTACGGGTAGGGAATTATCCCTACAGTACCAACACTGATTTGTCATCATTTATTACATCTGTGTTATTAAAAGAACTAGCGATCGCAATAGCCATAAAAAATCACTGTGATTTAAAAATCTTAATCATTAGTTTCGCTAGAGCTGTAAAAGTAACGAAGTTTCGGATACCCGTATGTATTCGCTACTAATCCAATCAACACCCGTATCTTTCGTATCGTTACTTTACTCGTTACTTTTGATACAAGCACTTGTACCTCACACGAATCATCGCAGCAAATTTTGCAGCGTAAGGAAATGTTCGTTCGTACATATGTACATCTATACATATGTATGTATACACGCAACATTTTTTTGTATCGATTCGAACAATTTGATACGATCAAGCACCCAGTGATGGAAAAGTAGGCACAATAGTGCCATTTTTGGCCCTTACATTCTTAGAGGCACTTTTGGTACAATCATAAAATATAAAATGCCAATATATAACAAAAAATTACATACCACATTTCAGATTAAAAAATTACAAAAAGTGAAAATTAAAAACACTTACAAATTAAAATAAGGGCTGTGAGAATTATTTGCAAACCGCTGAATTCTGTTGTGAATATGCAGTACGAAAAGTAAGTTTTCGCCACAACAAGCTTTTAATTCAGAATTTTTGGAAAGATTCTAAGTTCGCAGTTTTATAGTTAATAAATGAAAGTGCCAGTTTCTGCAATATCCCGATGATTTTTGATATTTTTTTCTGACGGTGTCATACATTTTGATCCATTAAAAAAAATTTCGAACACACTTATATGGAAAAAATGCATAACATCAAAAATTGGAATCTTGTACAAAGTTTGAAATGCCGATATGTGTACATTTATTGTGTATATTAAATTATGAATTAGACTTTTATTTAAAATCAATTAAAAAATAATCAATGAATATAATAGGCGAAACTGGTCAAATTGTCTTACTGCGATTACAAATAGGTACACACATATGAGCGTAAGAATGTCAGAATAGCTGTTCTTCCGTGTATTTCCTTCCGTAATTGGAATTCTGTGTAATTTACTATGAATTTATGTTTTATGTTTAATAGGCAACATAGACGGTGCGTCTGACTCGCGAGTCAACTGTGTACGTGTTCACTCGCCTTTCGACTACACACATTTGAATCATTCAGAGTTATACCAGAGTCACGTCGGTGTAAGTAACACATATTTATTTTTACTTAACACATCCAAACCGACGCACGATTCAGACGCACCGTGTATGCCGCTTATAAAAAATCCCTCATAAAGGTGATTTACTGTANCACAATTTTTGTGTATTTTAGAGTTTTTTTCAGTCACATGACGAAATTTTAATATTTATCCCCATTTTAATTGCAGGTATGTATGTACACAGTATGTAACTATGCTACATGGGTCTATCACCCGCACTTAACCTACCTGGGAAGACGTGTACAATATTACCTAATTGCCACTGAGCAAAACTACTTGAGAAGAAAGCACGAGTGCAATGCCGTACACGTGATAGAAGTAAAACTTCTACCACACCCGGTAGAAATCTTAACAAAAATAAACTACGGGAAAATTAGACGAATACAGTTGTTTATTTTATCCAAAGTTGGTACCAAGTTGATATTTTTTTATCATTTCTCATAATTTTTTAATTTTTTCGAATACAAAGGATATGATCATTATTTTTCGCTTTATTCCGAATTCGAAAAATTATATGTTTCAATGGATAAATCGATTTGAATACATAATTTTGGTTCAGATAATTATTTTAGCAATTTATTTGAGAAAAATAAAACATTTAGATTATTGTTTGTCGATTTTAAATTTGCTACCCCAAAATAATTGATATCAAATAAAACACCTCTTTGGGGTAAAATTTTCGTGTGGCGAAAGTTGAACTAGAAACGCAAAATTTATGATATCGATTTCGTGACGAAAATTATACGCTTTTTTTAACTGTCTCTGAAACGTACGGATAATCTTTTTTTAGTTATTCGGAACGTTGCGAAATTCCGTCTACTGAAACAGAAACACAAAATAAAAAACAGAACTATTGCAACGATTCGTATGAATATAAAAGATTTTCCCTACGTTTCCAAGGCAATTAAAAAATGCGTATAATTTTCGTCACGAAATTAATATCATCAATTTTGCGTTTCTAGTTCAGCTTTCGTCCCCCGAAAATTTCATCTCAAAGAGATGGTTTATTTGATAGATATTTACGAGTATATCCAATCCAACGATCCAATGATCGGAATTTAAAAAAAAATTAAATGGGACTACCCATAGAAAAATATGTTCCGATGAATTCATAACATCCTCCTTTTTTTGAAGTAGGTGTGTATGTCCTATAGGAAAACATTCGATCCACTTTAGAAGGTTTGAAAACTTGATGGCAGCAGTGAGGGTTTCTGGCCCCAGGTGTGCGCCATGTAGTTTTCCCCACCTCCAGTCCGGAGGAGCCCCTTCTGGAGATAAGTGGTGTATTTGGCGCGGTCTTACCTCGATTTGGGAAAGACGAAATTTTCGATTCGCTTGCCCAGCGTAATATTATCCCGATCACCAAAAATCTATAAAATATATAGAACATTTCTTTTTGGTTAGTTATGGGGACATTTCTAATGAACCGAATTGGAACATAAAACTTTTTCGAACGAATAAAAAGACATATCATACCGTTTACTAAAAAAAAACTAATATAAACAATCGTGAAAATGTTTATAAGACAAATTTGTTTAAGACGAGCTCTTATTAGTAGTTAAAAAGTACCATCTAAGGGATACATTTTGTATTTAAGTAATATACGTTAAACTTTTTTAAACAAATCGGTCCACTAATATGAATTTTCCAAATATCTGTACTCTTTTTGTGGATTTACTCCTTTTCATGTAAGTAATATCATTCCAAATATGAACTACATCGAACTATAAGGTTTTCAAATATCTCGACACCTAGCGGATGAACTAATATTTCATTGTCAAGGGGGACTGAGCTAAGTTTGAAGTTTCAAGTCTCTCGCTTATCGGAAAGTTGGTTAAAAATGTATTGCAAGCTTTAGTTACACACAGGTGAAACTTAATAAAAGAGTGATTTTAGAACAGTCAGTTTAACGAAGTTTATTTGATGCTTTGCACAAAGAATGTAAACTAAATTCAGGCGTTTCCCGTAAAAATATGGTATATAAAAACTTTTACTTCGACTTCAAAGATACTAATTCATTTTATTTTGTCGCGGGGATGGTCAGACAAGAAAACTTTGAGTCCTTAAAAGTTGTTCATGACATAATAATCTTCTTCGTTTTTTTCAGGATGAGGCTCGAAAGAAGGCAGCTTCTACTTATTTGGTCGAGAGTACAGATATGCCGCCTCCTCGATATCAAAAAGATGGTACCATGCCGATCGTTTATCCAGGTAACATGTGAATGTAATAATTAAGTGGTTTTTCAAGTCATCCTTAGTATTACCAAATGAGCTTGGAGTATTTTAGTGTAAACAGAATGTGTTGGCGAGTAATGCATGAAACTGTGTTTTTAAATTTTTTGATACCCTCAAACTATACATTTATTCATTTTGCAAATGCGAAAAGCCCTATAATTTAAATCTGTTAGAAAACAGGCATAAATAGAAGAAAAAGCTGAAAATTGGATGGCGTTTGTCTGTTTCCTTACAGCAATAATAAGATATCATCATTTTCTTTTTGTTTTTAAAGGTTGGAAAAGTTTCGAGGTTTTCAAACTACTTCCAAGTTAAAGGGAATCGCGTAATGGTTTTTCATATTACAATATCTTACAAGTATATACTATATCCTATGTTCGGAAATGCCCAAGCCAAAGCATCAGTGTCATCTATTTCTAAACTATAATTGATGAAAACGTCCAATATGCACAACCACCGTTAAATGCCGAATTGAAACTTAGTTGCGCAAACAAAGGATATTTAAATCATTTCCTTTATTTTATATCCCTACGTACGTATGTACGCCTGCTTTCAACTAATTAGCACCGAAATCAAAAATGATATTGTGTGCGACTTATGTTTACTTATTTATCCTTAATAATTTTCATTTAAAATATAATTCAATCTATAACAAAAGCCACACAAGTAAAAGTTTCAAAACTTGAACAAATTTAAAAAAAAATAATCAAACTTAAAAAATTTTAATTTAAATTCCAAACTTTTAATCAGAATATTTAGAAAATTTACGGGTATGCAGTTTTTTTAATCCAATAAAGTGCACGTTTCAAGTCGCAAAAAATTACCGTTGAATTTTATACCCGAGCGCACTTGTGCACAAGGGTGTTATGACTTTGTTCACATAACGGTTGTTTGTAACAGCCAAAACGAATCGAGATAGAATACACAAATATATACATAAATGAAAAGAATGAATGGCGTCCGTCCGTCCGCCTTTGCACACGATAACTCGAGTAAAAATTTTGACCAACCAAACTCGGTACCNCTTGTGCACAAGGGTGTTATGACTTTGTTCACATAACGGTTGTTTGTAACAGCCAAAACGAATCGAGATAGAATACAAAAAATACATATATACATAAATGAAAAGAATGAATGGCGTCCGTCCGTCCGCCTTTGCACACGATAACTCGAGTAAAAATTTTGATATCTTAACCAAACTCGGTACGTGTACTTCTTTTCAGTGCAGAACGGATGGTATTGAAAATGGGAAAAACTGGACAATAACCACGCCTACCTCCTATGTAACGGTTGTTTTCATAAATACGAAAACTGCGATATTTTAGTAACTACTGACGCCTATTCACTCAAAATTAATAATATTTACAATGATTTTTTGGCGAAAAATAAGAGTATTATCAATTTTTCGAAAATGGGCGTAGCAACGCCCACTTATGATTACATATGTAATGTCTCGGTAACCGCTCCACCGATTTCGCCCAAACGGTTGTTGGCGGTAGTACAACATACCAAACGGCTGAAAATTTTTAAAATCGGACAATAACCACGCCTGCATCCCTTATAACGGTTATTTAGAGAGAATCTTCGATAAATTAGTAACTACTGAAGCTANTTGGCGAAAAATAAGAGTATTATCAATTTTTCGAAAATGGGCGTAGCAACGCCCACTTATGATTACATATGTAATGTCTCGGTAACCGCTCCACCGATTTCGCCCAAACGGTTGTTGGCCGTAGGACAACATACCAAACGGCTGAAAATTTTTAAAATTGGACAATAACCACGCCTGCATCCCTTATAACGGTTATTTAGAGAGAATCTTCGATAAATTAGTAACTACTGAAGCTATTTTTATTCAAAATTGATGTTTCTAACAACTCTTTACTAAAAAATACGCTTATGATAAAATTTTGGAAAATGGTCGTGGCACCGCCCACTTATGACCACATACATATGTGTATCTCGGTAACCTTTCGATCAATTTGTACCAAACTTGGTGTGATTATTGTGCTTGCCATATTAAAGAAAAAAGTTGAAAACTAATGAAATGGGACTAAAATTATGCCCACTATTCATAAAACGGTAAAGTTCAGAAATGCTTGAAACTTCGATATTTCGAAATTTAAGGACGCTAATTTACTCAAAATTGATGTTTGCAATAATTCTTTAGCACAAAATACGTTTATGATAAAAAGTGGCACCGCCCACTTACGACCTCATATGTGTATCTCGGTAACCGTTCGGTCAATTTGTACCAAACTCGGTATGATTATTTTGCTTGCGACATGAAAGCAAAATACTGAAAATTATTGAAATTGGACAAAAATTACGCCCACTTTTTATATAACGGTAAATTTTAGAAATGCTTAAAACTTCGATGTTTCGAAATTTAATCACTCTAATTTACACAAAATTTATACCAGCATCAATCCATTGAAAAGAAGTAACCTTATTATGGAATTTTGGAAAGTGGGCGTAATACCGCCCACATATAACTATATAAGTTTATCGAAGTGGTTTAAAATAGGGGTAAAACCACCCTTGCTTACCATGTAGCAGTAGTTTTCGGAAAGGTGAAAAAGCTATATTTAATACATCCGCCGGGTATCTTAAATTCAGCTCAGCTCGAACTTCGACTTTTTTACTTGTTTTGAATTTATTTTTGTGGAGGGTGTTGCGGATTTTCTTCCATATAACGCATGATCAAAATATATTTTTATATAAAAAAACCGCAACACCCTCTATAAAAAAAAATCTAAAAAATTAAATCCGCTTACATGGCCCGAGCGATTCTGGGGTACATCTAAGGGATACACAGCAGAACTACTTAGGAGCTGGGAAGAATCTCAGATTGCTGCCCACTGTCGGAAGGCGAAGATAATAAGACAGTCAAAGAGATTCATAACTCCCCCCATGAGGAACTCTAAAAGACTCCTTAAAGTTAGAACTCTTGCTGGCTACTTCGACAGCACACTGTAATTTTTAAGCAAAAGACAAAACTGACTTCAATTCTCCTATAAAAATTTAAGATTATCGTCAGGACACATGGATCGGATTTAAACCAAATTAGTATGGGACCACCTGTGAGTTAACACCTCGCCTTTAAAAAAAGAATTACAGAAATCGGTTAAAGTGGTCCAAAGTAATGCGGTAACATTCATAAAAAACATATATATATATTTTGACGAATTGATAACCTTTTCTTTTTTGTGAAGTCGGTTAAAAATGAATAGGCCACTTCCTAATATAGAATCAAAATTTGCATTGACCTATGTGACATGTAGGACCAAATGGAAATATTTACCAAATTAAAAAATAAATTACCAAACTACTATATTCATCAATTTTTATTGAGCTTGATGCCATTTTTAATGAAATACAACAATAATTTGAAAAAAATGGTAGAAGTGATAGCTATTTCGTAAATCACCACATTTCCTCATCAGACTTCTTTCAGTAGGATTCGAACCGACGATTCCACTGTCTCAGCCAGTTGCCTACGCACTGTGCTAAGTTCGCCTTGTAAATTATCGTTGCTTTTTCCCACTTTTTCATTTGTTAAGCCAACACAATCAATCGTAGCTATTCCGCTGCAATTCAGACTTGATCATGTTTAACTTTTAAGTGTGCTCGTTCTTAAGTTATTTGTTTTTGTTATTTCATGGCCTTATAACAATTATATTTAACAATTTTTATTGAGCTTGATACCATTTTTAATGAAATACTTATTGTGGAAAAGCAACAATAATTTGAAAAAATGGTAGAAGTGATAGCTATTTCGGAAATCACCACATTTCCTCATCAGACTTCTTTCAGTAGGATTCGAACCGACGATC